ATCACAGCTCCACATTTTCTTTGCCTCCTAACCTCTCTCCATTCTCTGCCACCACTTTTTTTCCTTTTCTCTCTTCTTCTTCGTTTATACCTTCTTTACTATTTTAGATTTTCTCTTCATTCATATTTTTATTTGTTCTTCACATTAACCCGTAAGAAACCAACCCATGTGTCATATTCCATTCCCTTTTATAAACAACATGGTGTAATTATTATCTCAGGAATCTAGGGCATGCTTCTTTGTTTTCTTCTCCTTCAAACCTATTTTTTCTAATCAAAAACAATCTCCACTATGTCATACCATTTTCGTTTAGATTCTTCATATACCTTTCAATGTCCTCTCTTTCAATTTCCCACCTGATGATTTTATTATTATTCTCTATACCCTTTTATATATATTTGTGCTATTGTTCATTTTATACATATGTTCATTGGTTTATACATATGCGAACCCTTAATTAACCAACGGCACTTTTAATGCATAGCTCATCATGATTTTCTCGTTTGTCCCGATACAAAGCAACAAAGCATTATTATCTACCCCAAGCTCATGCCCTTTTGTTTGAATTGCGTTTAAAATCCAAAGTCTCAACGTTAAAACTGGATCATTTGATTGACACGCACCATTAGAAGCCGAAGGAATCATCAGTTATTAAAAAATCCCAACGGAATTGAATTGCTAAAAACAAGTCGTGATATCAACAATTTTTTGGTTAATGAATAACGATACCACATGGCTGAGTGATTAATTAGTAAAAAAGCACATGTTCACGAATCTTGACACTCTTCCGTATATTATCAAATAAAGCTATGTGACAAAACTTCTGACTAGTTCAGATACATATGCCATGTCGCCTTGTTAAAATTCTAGACCAATAAATGAATAAAGCGATCAAATATACTATAATTGTACAAGAACAGATCAGTGCCTAGGCTACACACAATGTCGTAGATATACATGTCACGAGGCATCACCTCATCTCTCGTAGATCAAGTTCTCTTGAGTTTCTTCTACAATTATTAGAAGGAGCCCCATGCTCTGCATCGTTGTCCCCTTCTTCGCAACCTATCGTGTTTTGAAGTTTAGTTCCTATATCCATTCCTCGGAATCTGTTCTTGGGATCTAGGAAAAGTTTCAAACTCATTTCTGAAGTCCCAGCTGGCCAGCTTATATTTCGATCGAAAAAAGAGATCCAGCTTATTACATATTATGGAGTATATCATATATATATATAGTCATATTATATATAGTTTCGGTTATGCGCCAGTTTATTATACCTTTGTTTTGAGTTTATACATGACACCAACCGACATGGCAAAATTAACTTATACCCTATGTCTGTCAACAATCATATCAAAAAAAAAGAAGCTAAATCATATCTATGTGCTAATAATTGGTTTGCTATGCATTTGTTTTCTTTCTGTAAAAAGTTTGTTATGCATTTTGCTAAGATATAGAAGAGTATTATACATGATTTTTGCATGGCCTACACTTATATTTATTATTTTTTGGGTCAAATGTATTTATGATTTTTAAGATGGTTTAAATTCATGCTTTTAGTACAATATCGAGATTTTGTTTAACTATTGGTCGTCGTCCCATCAATCACATAAAGTAAAATGGGCCTTTGGATAACCAATTTCAGAGCCATAGAACAAATGATGTAGAAAGATCACACATTATCATGACCTACTCATCAATCAACCTAACTCAAAAAGATAATTTTGACATGACTATTCCCACTGAAAATGTATATAAAAGGACACCAGGTAATGTTTTTCTTCAATTGTACAATTTTACACCTAACATACCAAAAAGTAACCATCACCTTTTGCACGAAATGAGTTTTTATTTTTTTTATAAATTGTTTAATAATAATTATATATATATATATATATATATATATTATTAAGATACTTTTAGGTTTTTACGAATCTATCCGGATCCAAAAGAATCTGACTTGAAATCCAAACAAAGTAATTTTAAAATCCAAAAACCTGATATCCAAAAAATATCCGAACGTGTATTGAATATCTATATTTAGCTGATTATGTAAATAAAAGATTGAAATTACCATAATTAACACGTAAATACATGACATCAAATTATTATAGTTATACAATTAATGAATTAATTTGATAAAGTGAAAAAGAAAGATATAATAAAACAATTAAAATAAATAAGTATTGTTTTGTACTTTTATAGTAAATGTTGTCAATTTATTTAGGAAAAAAATTAATAAAATAATTAAGATAAATGAAATTAAATAAATAAAATATGTAATAAATCTTTTAAAAATAATATTAAATCTATTTTGTACTTCGATTTTAATAATATAGATCACATAATGTTTTAGTTGAGTTGGTTTCTCTGATTGGCGAGTTAGAGAAACAAATATGTACTATAGCCCATAATCTGTAAGGCCTTCAAGACCAAATATAGAATTAGGCCGTTTGAGTAAAGATCATACACACATAAAGACGATGAAGGAAAACTTTGTTATATGTAAAGAGAAAGCCCACTTTGAGCTCACTAAATGCCTTCACAATGGCCCACGAATAACCTAAATACGCTTACGTTTTTTTTAATGAAATCATAAACATGACTAGGATATGACACTTTACTGTTCTAGATAGATATTGATCAAATCTTAAAATATATGGATTAATTTAATAAAACAACCAGGTTTATTTAACGGAGTTGACATCAAACGTTGTATATTTAAATATACTTGAACGGTTCACATCCCCTATATATTAAAGGAGAAGCATTACAACATTGTTTTGTAGCCACGTGTCATCACCACAATCATTCTTAGAATCTTTAAAAAAATATGTTTGTCTATCTAAATATATAATAAGCTTTTTATTAAACTAATCATAAATGACTTATTCATTTTTTTCATTATTTCTTTAAATAAAAAATAACGGAATTGCCAAATATGATTAAAGAATATATGACATTTAATGATTTTCAATAACAAAGATTTGATAAAAATTAGTGTAAATTTTAAATTTTAACTTATTAAAATAAATTAAACAACCACATCAACTATATAATAAAAATTTATATTTTTTTGTATATGCTATACTTTGAATTTTTTAAAATGACTATAAATGACTAAAGTTGTTAAAAAGCCTCACTAAATTTTTTGTGATCCATGGTTAAATTTTTATAAAAAAATAGAAATGATTACAAAATTATATAAGTAAAAATGTCTCATTTAATATATATATATATATTGTTCAAAATAAATTATGTACCATATAATATATATATATATATATATATGTATTTTAATTTCTAATGTGCTTTGATTTTTTTTGATAAAAAATTAAATAAAATATTGAAAACTTAATATTTAGTTTTAAACTTTGCATATTGTTTTAAAACTATAAATAACTAAAAATGGTAAACATCCCACACAAAAAAAAAATTGTTATCAGTGATTTAAAATTTTTATTATAAAAATATAAAAATGAACAAAAAAAATAATATGAGTATAAACTATGATTTAACGAATATCAATATTAAAAATTTATTATATTTCTACGATAATATCATTTAAACTTAATTGTATATCATATAAAATAGAAAAAAAATATTTTTAATTGTTTTCTTAAATAAAAGTAACGGATAGCCAAATATGGTTAAAGAATATATGAAAATTAATAATTTTTAATAATAAAGATTTGATAAAAATTAGTGTAACTTTAAAATTTGAACTTATTAAAATAAATTCAACAACTACATTAACTATATAATAAAAATTTAGAATTTTTCGTATTTGCTATACTTTGATTTTTTTAAAACGACAATAAATGACTAAAGTTGTTAAAAATTCTCATATTGAAGTTGATTTTACATGTGTTTAGAAATTATAATAGGAAACTATTAGTTCGACATCAAAAATATCTAAAATTTATATAAAATGAAACCAAACAAATAACAATAGTTTTTGGTTATCATCGAAAAAATAAAAAACATCAAACATTTACACCAAACAAACAAAAATAAATATATATTTAGAATGATAGTTATATTTTAGGAGATTAAAAAAACAACGTAAAAATAAACTAATATTCATGCTAAACAGACATAATATCATTTTATCATTAAAGTAACAAAAGTAATAATCTCATCCCGCGCAAGGCGCGGGTTATTATTTTAGCTGTGGGCGAAACTTAATTATTTATATGCTTACCAAACAAGATCTTCAGCGTATTATCCAGAATGAAACATGTTATCCAACTTCCGATCCTCTCAATGCAAAGTTTTGACCATGTATTTCTTGCATGTTTTTATGGATGTCATGAAGCTCGCAGTTTTTGTAAATAAATACAAGTCTATAATATTGGCAAGAAAAAACACAAAGTATGAGATGATTTAGTCAAATTTTTGTAAGTTTACTTTTATCCTGAAAAATTGTGGAACTACTTTTCTTAAATACAATAAAATGTCGATAGGGAATGAAAAAAAAAAAACATTTCTTTGACAAAGTGGAAAATGAAAAGTTCAACGTTTAACATGATTTAATTTAAGAAAATCACAGGTGTATCTTTTCCAAGTAAGTAGTCGCCAACCACTATGGAAACTTAGACTAAACAACAATATATATGGATGGAGGCAATTTTTGGATTTATTTTTTTCTTTTTGTTTATTTTTAAAATACTTGGATGTAGAGTTTATATAGAGAGGAAAAAAATAAATATGCAAAAAAAAAAGTAAAACTGGATTAGAATTTTAAAAATGAGTGATTTAGAAAAGTTTGTCCGACATGGATATGAATCAGCAAGTAGTTATCCGTTGTTTATTTCAAACTGGGTCAGCTGTGTGGGATCCAATTTCGACGTGTTACACAGTTCACATTTGCTTGCGAGTTCCCAAAATTTAAAACTACTAAATTAAATACTATATATTCTTTTAATTTTATCCAACCAAGATAGAATTATAAATTGGACTTTGCCATTACCTCCCTCCCTCTCCGTTGCTTCTGTTTTGTTTATAGATAACGTTTTTTTTCCCCGGAAATTTTTCTATCTTTGATCTGAAAATCAAAAGCATAAAAATCATAGTTTAGTGTCTAATATAGAAGAAAATCATTATTTTCTATTTTCTTCTAATCTGATCTCTTAAAGAAGATATAAACTCATTAAACTGATCAATATCAGAATCCAATTACAATATCTTGTAAGTCCTCGTTTTATTCTTTTTCTTCTTATATAGATTCATCAGTATGATTCTCTAGATCCTAGTTATAACTTTTTCATATAAATTAACGTTTTCTGAATCCGATTTCTTCTATATAACTTGTTACAGAATAAAACAAAAAAAGATATGGAGAACATCGTCGTTATCTCACCGGAAAACGCCTCAGGACCACCATCACCACCACCACCTCCTCCGATAAAGTCAAACTACGGTATGAAGAAGAAGTCAACGGTACAAAAATGCGAGAGCTTTGCATCTAAAGCTACAAGAGATGCATGGGATCGTATGTTCGACGAAGCTCTTGGAGCTGATGTTTTGATTCATACAGATGATAATGGCTTAATCTACGCGCATTCTAACGTCATCGTAAGTTCTCTAAACATGTTTTAATCGAATAATCTTATGAATCATTTTTTTATATTGAATCTTTATTTAATAAATAATCTATTGTTAATCAGGGAATGGCTTCAGATGTAATTAGAGGAATGATGAAGCAAGATAAGAGAAAACCTAATCGCAAATCAATCTCCATCCTCGGGGTTCCTCACGATGCTGTTCGTGTTTTCGTTAGATTCTTATACTCTTCTTGGTATTAATCTATCTTCTTCTTCTTAATCACTATACCATCTTTGATTATATAATAATAATTTAACCTAACCCTTTTGTTAATTGTGCATGCAGCTACGAGAAACAAGACATGGAAGATTTTGCGATACATCTTCTCGTACTATCACATGTCTACGTGGTTCCACATCTAAAAAAAGTGTGTGAGTTGCACTTCGAAAGTACTTTGCTCAACAAAGAGAATGTGATTGATGTGTTTCAGCTAGCTCTTCTTTGTGACGCTCCTCGTCTAGGTCTTCTATGTCACAGGATGATACTAAAGAGCTTTGAAGAAGTCTCTACATCTCAAGGATGGATAGCGATGAAACAAAGCCATCCTGGTCTTCATAAAGAGCTTTTACGATCTGTCTCTTACGAGCTTAACGTAAGTAAAAACCAAACCTAAGGAGCTTATGTCTTGTTCTTTAACAGTTTTCTGATTTAGTTATGTCTTTGTGTTTGTGCAGAGGTTGGAGCAAAGAAGCAAGAAACAGAAAGAGATACAGACATACACTCAACTGTATGATGCAATGGAAGCTTTTGTCCACATATGTAGAGATGGATGCAGAGAGATTGGTCCAACAAAGGTCGAAAACCCGCATGTCTCTTGCGGGTTTCAAGCGTGCAACGGTTTGGAGATGCTGTTGAAACATTTGGCAGTATGTAAACTGAGATCAATCCCTGGTGGTTGCAGCCGTTGTAAGAGAATGTGGCAGCTTCTTGAGCTTCATTCACGTATCTGCGTTGACTCAAAGCAATGCAAAGTCCCTCTTTGCGGTAACTTCAAGGAGAGGGTGAACAAACAAAGCAGAAAAGATGAGAAGAGATGGAGACTGTTGGTGAAGAATGTTTTGAGCACCAAGAGAATTGGAGGATCTCCTTTCTTTTTGCAGGCTATTGATGTTACTATGTGACATTATTATTATTATTTCATTCCATAATAGAGTGTTAGAGATTGCATATATAATATATATATATAGCTAGCAGATTCTTTGTTAAGAGAGAGAGAGGTTTTGAGATTCAAACAATACTTCAATCTCTGGTTCCATCACAAACCTCGTTTTAAAAGAGTGTGTTTGATCATAATACCATTGAGTGTTTGGAGTTCTTGTGACTATGATCTTATGAGCTTTCATGCAATTTTTTGATCTTGGACCTCGTGATATTCTACTAAAATCTCCCAAACATAATAAACGATACTCATTCTACTAACACATCATACTCCTATTGCCTCATTGACATGGTTTCTATACCAAGTTCACTGCTTAACTATGTATGAAACTGTGCTAAACAAGAATCAGAGAACACTAATCCGACAATAACTTGAAGAAGAGACTCTTTACTACCACACACAAACGCATCTCTTGAACTGACGAAAACATAAAGAGCAGAACAAACCCAAACGTAACAGTTAGTTTTATAATTTCTTAATAAATTTTGAAGGATTAATAGAAAAGGACTATTGTATTAATTTAAAGTTTTATACATGTCTTAATAATATTTTTAAAATGCGAAAGATATCTAATTAACAGTTACATCTAAAAATTCTAAAACGTATATTTATTTGTTATAATTCACAAATCCTATATACATATATTATTGTCTTTTAGGGTTAAATATGATATAACATATTATTTCGCCTTGTGTTAGTACCAGAGCGGTCTTGTGTGTAAGCCAAAAAAAAATCAGACTTTCGACCTTCATTTTACAAAGTAGTATTTCGACCATTAAATATTAGAAGTTTCCAAGTAGTCAAATAGTAAATGTGGTTATGTTAATTTGAAAAGGTATGCAGTTCAGAATCTTCTAGCTTTCATTTTCTGGTCTTCTTGTTCTCGAGTCCGGCATTGGTTAGTATATACTCCCTCTGTTTTAATATAAGTGTCACTCTACAGCTATGCACACGGATTAAGGAAACAATTAATTTTACATATTTCCTATATAAAAACACAATTACCTATACACCTAACCATATTTTAACCAATAGAAAAATAAATTACATAATAAAATTAATAAATTTTGCATTGAAAACCAAAAACGACACTTATTTTGTTACACAAAAAATTCTTTACAATGACACTTGATATAAAACGGAGGGAGTATTACTCTTGAGGTAGAGAAGCTTAGAAGATTAACCCAAGATCAGAACTTGCTCTTGAGGTAGAGAAATCAGACCGACAAAAATGATACTTCTAAATTACTTCGACAGTGTCATTATATTGAAAATCTTTTTTGTCGTTTACTTTCTTTTATTTTAAAATATTTATGTAGCTAATGGTACATCATTTTCCTTGCGGACGCACTCGCGTAATGAATATTCCCTTCGAATAAATATCGGGGCCATGTTTTTGTGGGGGATATATGTGATGTGAATGAGATATTTGGGTGTTTATATCCTAATGCTTTTGTGGCCTCACTTTACTTCTGTTACAGTTCTGTATATAATAGTTGTGATTTTCTACTTGAGAACCTGGTGAAGACTTACCCTTTCTTTACTAGCTACAGAATCTTTAAGAGAATACATATTTGGTCCCTAGATTAAAAATATTTAATCCAAGATATATTATATATTATATATATGTGATAAATATGCCATACTTCGCCTATTTCAAAACCATCTAATTTATACTCATTCTATTTTAAAATAGAGTAACTAATGTTTAATGTTTTTTCACACCAATTAAAAGAATTTCTAATTTATTCAATGTGTCTCGTTTGCACAAAAACAACAACAACTACAGATAATTCTAACAATAAAATATCATATTACAGATAGAAATGGTCGCAAGCATCAATTACATTAGAACTTGAAAACATCATTTAAACTGAAACGAAACAAGAAAAAAAATCACTTAAAGTGAAACGAATGTAATAAATAGTTTTGGGTTTTAGTTTGTATTTGTCAGTGAACTATCATTGATTCTCAAATCGCAAATCTGTTTTGGTTTTTAAAAGTAAAAAATGCAATCTGCATGCATGTTCCATTAGAGCCAGATAAAATCGGATACGATTAACCGTCAAAACATCCTTTGATATATATGCCAAGAAATGCTAAAGGAAAGAAATTCACAACAGCTAAAAACCAAACCTCCGGTCAACATACGCGCGTATATGACAATCTTTATAACTAAAATATCATACACAAACACAAAGTAGTAAGTTTTCTCCACATGTCTTATGATACGATGAACATGACCTTATAGTATAAACTATCCCTGACTCTTTCAGTGCTCACGACTCGACAATACCTCTTTTAGACAAAGACACGTTTTAAAACCCCGATTCAAAGGTTTCAATCATGCTACTGCAAACCAACAAAAGAAACATATAAATCTATCAGTTTAACATATTTGGGACCATTAAATGGAGAAAAAGCGTGGTCCATGACATTGATATTCATATCATTTACACGTAAGACTTGCGGAATCAAAATGTGTTTTTATCCTCCAGTACCCATCAATGATCAATCTCGAATTAGCAAAAGTACTAAGAACCAAATCCCACCTAAAAAATAAGAACTAAACTAATATACATAATAATATATATACAATTAAAAGTGTGTTTGTTTTCTCTAATTTGTTTGAATGGGATTTTTTAGTGGGTATCCAGAAAGCGTATATATATATAAATAATGGTCTGGTATTGGCAAGATTATCTTTAAAACGTGGAACTCAAAACGCACTTTTACAGGCTATGACACAATAGTGGGAACGTAATTATCATTATTGGTAATACTCTGTCCATTCATATTCTCTTTCTATCATAATTATTATTTTGCCTGCAATAAGCAATATGATAATATTCTGACAAAATATTACTACTTCATTCTACGTATTAAAGCGTTCATGAAAGTTTCTATATAATAATTAAAATAAAACTAGGTCGGTATTTTAACATAGCCAGAGAAAAAAGTATCTTAAAAAGCTAGATCCATTTACAAGACAAGAAGACACAAACCCAAAAGTAAGAGATATTGCCTCTTACCACTACTTTAAACACCAACAAAAACAAAACTAAAAAGACCTAACAAGAGATCTTAAAAAAGAGTTTGAAGAGATCAACTCCTAACATGACATGTAGGTTAATAAAAACCATTATCAAGCATATAAAAAGACTTTAAAACTCCCTAGGGTCCACAAAAATAGAAGCGCCAGGTGGTGATTTGGTCCAATCACCAAGAGCGCCGTCACTGTAGTCTTCTCCAAGTCGTTTGATGCACCAAAGATCCTCTTCGCACGATAACACTTTCCAGTGTGGTATCCCTCGCCGCAACGGCTCCTCTCCAGCGACTTCTGTCGCCAAAACGCCGCAACCCCCTTTCTTGGCAAGATTGTGAGCGTGTCCGCACAGAGACTTCACCATCTTCGCCGCACGTGGACCTTCCCCTCCAATCCCATACATAAAATGAAGCCCAAACGGTTTAAAAACAGAAGGTATCGAAGGAAGATTCAAAAACGGCAGCATTTTATCAACCACGCGTGTCGTTTTAGCCACGGCACGCCTTAACCGCGACGCACCACGAACCTCTAACCTAAACGAGTCTTTGCAGTTCCAAACGCTCAACACAGCCCATGACTCTGGTGGATACTCAAGGAACTTAGCCGAACCGGGCCATGATCCAGACCCGGATCCGTAGCAGCTTCCACGTGGCACCGCGACGAAAGTCCCTAGAGAGAGTTTGTTATTAAGCACCGAATCAATATCTCGCGGGAAAAACTCGGTTGTGCTAAACCGGAGTCGGTACAACGACTCTGCATCGACCGGGTCCAATTTAATAACTGTGACACGACGTGAGACGTCGACTTTGTGAGCGTAAACCGGGTTAACCAAAATCGACGGTTTACGGAACTCGGAGTAACCGCATTTTTCGGTGAAAAGATTAACGGAAGCTTTGTTTTCGCTTTCAGTTGCTATATACGAATATTCTGCACCGTTCTTCACGAACCATGCTTCCATCATCTTCACGAGTTTAAACGCTATCCCTTGCCTCCTGCATATATGATTAACGAGATAAATGATTAGTATTAGTTACCACCTTTCTTAATCAAAATATCACTTTACATGCGTGATTAGTGGGAGTAACGGAACGTTACCTGTGAGAAGGAGAGACACGGAGGCCCAAAACGTAGGCGAGTTTAGTGTAAAGTGGTTTAACGGTGTCGTTTTGAGACTTGTGATTTAAATCTAGTAATTTTTTGCCACATGTAACGGTTTTGATACAACCTCTAATCATGCCCACTATCTCCTTCTTCTCCGTACCCATCTCAGCCACCTGTTACAACCATATTATATTAATTTTTTCCCGTTATTAATAAATTCAAAAGTTTTTTAACTATATGAATTAGCTAACTCAATACACTTGGTTCAGAAAATAGAAATGATGAGCCTTTTGATCTTTATCAAGACTCAAGAGTGAACTTGAACTAAAATACAAAATTCTATTAATGGAAATTGATATTTTTTTTAGTTTAACTAAACGTTGAGAAGTTGGAAGTCATCATCCAAAACATCTTGTCCTTAAGCTTCAGAAAGCAGTGGAGGAAGAAGAAGAGACACTTATAAAAGAAGTAAAAAAACATATTAGAAGGTTATAGTAATATTACCAGCATAAGAAAAGAAGGTGAATGTCGGATCCTACAAATAGGGTCACCCAAAAGGTCGGTGAAGAGCGAAAGCTTGCCGCTTGGACCGACCTCGCAACGTTGCTCCACGTTCTCTACACCGGCTAAGTCTCTGCTCGGGTCGTATTCTCTAACCACCGTCATGTTTTGCTTTTGTTTAGAGAGAGATAAAACAGAGAAAAGGATTAGAAGAAGAAGACAGAGTTTGACAGAAGTGAGGGAAGTAGATAGGGGTTTAATAAGATAGGAAGGTGAGTGTGTAGATGATAGAAGTGAGGGAAGAGAAGCATTTATAGAAGCTATATGTATATAGGCTATATGTATATAGCGTGAGGTATAAGTAATGAACAGAGAAGCTATAAGAGTTGATAGGATTTGGATTTAAAAGGAAATCGAAAAAGACTAGTTTAAAAAAAACGGCTATCTGTTTATTTATTTATGACGATGTTTAAAAGTTGGAGAAGGCGAGTAGTTCATGATTGAAAGAGGTTTAAAGTTCTTCTCAAATCCTATGTATTGTTTATACAGTACCCATTTGTTTTTCTCCTTTTCGTAATTAATACTGTTAACCCGGTAACTGAAACGGCCTTCTTTTATTTTCTAGCGGGATAGGGAATATTATTAATAATCAACCACCAATTTTTCTTTAAAAATTACAGGTAATTTAATAGCCATTAGTATCAATTATGAATTAATGTCGTTGATATGCATATATACTTTTAAATCTATTTTCAATATTATATAAATCGTATATTTTGCCATGCATCGATGATTTGGTTTATTCTAGTATGTATGTTAACTACGGTTTCAAATAAGAAGGAGAAAATACATTCCATTTACTACAAAAGGTTATTGAAATGAATATGTAGAGGTACCTGTGAAATCCAATTATGTAATACTCTCTATATTTCAATAAGATTAATGTTTTTAGAATTATTACACATATTAAAAAAATATCATAAATTCTGATTATAAGTATTTTTTTTTTGTTTAACTATTTTCCATAAGTCATAGTTAATCACTATTTATCAGTGTTGCATGTAGCAAAAAAATTGAAAAAATTATTTTTCTGAAACAAAATATTTCCTTTGTTGCAATTTATTTGTCGTTTTAGACAAAAAATATGTTTCAAAATAAGTGTCATTTTATAATTTCAATGTAGAATTTATTAGTTTTATTTAATTTTCTATTTTTCTATTGATTGAAATATGGTTATGTATATAGTTAATTGTGTTTTTATTTTGAAAATATATAAAATTAAATGATTTCTTAATCTGTATTCACATATTTAAAATGATAACTAAAATAAAATAGATAGAGTATTTTTCTAAAATGTGGATAATTTTTAAATCTCTAAAATTAGAAACATTAAATGTCTTTTTTCCTCCACGAAGTATAATCGGAGTAGCAGTATTTTGAAAAATAGTGGGGTTTCAAGGTAATATGAGTAGAGAGATTAATGGTGATTAAGACGAGCATTGATGCCGAAAACTTGCCAAAAGGAAGACTTGTAAGTGGGAGTGAGAAGTGGGAATGGCGGCTATGTCTGCGTTAACTCATTATGGTTTCTCTCTTTTCGTTTTCTTATGCCTAAAACCCACACATATTAACTTCCACATCAATACTCTTATGGAATGCATCGTCTCCAAAGTAATCATTTGCTCTCATCTCCATTTATACAAATTATCTGATTATTTACTTCCCTTTTTCTTTGTCACTATCTGTTTGCAAATAAAAATTTCGTAATAAATCTATATAATAATAGTATACTTTTGAAGTTCTTCAGCGTGTTCACGTCAGCAAGTTTGTGGGTCCCGCGCGTGTTATTAGGAAAAATAAAAACGTATAAAATTTTGTAAAAATGAATGTTATCGATGAGTGATGAAATGACCCAGTGGTGTAAGTTGGTGACGAGAAGTTGATACCGTGAGTGCGCGGGTTCAAAACGCAGTGCTTACATGTAAATTTTTTTTAAAAAAAATTTGGGCTTTTCGGAATACCTAAAAGCTTAGGAAGATTTAGAATGATATTTTATGCTGGTTGTTGGGATACAAAATGACTTAAGGATTTAAAATTTTATGAGACCATCTTAGATATTTTTATAAGAAAGGTTATCATGTTCTAACCTCCAATATCAATTCAATTCAGTTATAATCATCAAATAAAATAAAATATATTTTTTCTATAATAAATATTTACCCCGAACCATTCAGATCGACCATAAATCTCATATACAAAAAAAAAATATATACAACATAATTTCATAAAAAAAATTACACTAATAAACACATGTTATTTTTTATCTTGTCTCCATTAAATTATTTTTTTACATGAAAGCACTAATAACAGTAATGCTCGATAAATCACTAATAAATGGAATGCTCGATAAAATCATTACGAAGATCAACCCATATGAATTCGATGTTTATTCTTTATCAGACTAATCAAGTTGTGTGACTTCTAATGTTTCATTCATCACCATTATAGATAAGCCAGATAAACAAATATTAAAAATAAAACAGCAAAGTCTCATACACAAAACTACACAACACATTAACGACGTATCCAACTTCCGCGCTTGCGCGGGGACTATGCATCTAGTTGTACTAAAACGAAGGATAGTTTAGTCATGCAATGCATGATTGTATGAGACATAGGTGTAATTACAGTTTCAAATAAAGAAAAAGACCAAGACAATACATTAGTTTCAAAAGAATTTCAAAAGTTATTTATTATATTCCTTTTATTTGGTCAAAACTAAAATTAAAATATATAATAACTAGTAGCAGAGCCACCCAGTCCAAGGGTGGTTTTTAAATTTCATGTAAAATTTTGGTGACGTTCTTCATGTGCCTGGATGGTTTTTTACAATTTCATGTAAAATTTTGATAATGTTCTCCATGTTTCGAATGATTTTTTAAATTTTATATAATTTTTTGATAGTGTTCTTTGTGCCCTGAATAGTTCCTTAAACAATTTGATAGTGTCTCTCATAACATTTATCTCTACATCCGCCTCTGATAACAACTAAAGTTTGTTTTGAAAATGTTGTATAATCGGCTTTTCTGGCATCAAACGTTAAAAGTGTCAATATGCAGCACAGACGTTAATGGAAAAATAAGGAAAATCATGTTTATTGATGTCTAGAGACAGTAACTTCGTAAGCCTCAAATTACCATTTACCGTCAGCATTCTTATCGAATTTTTTTTTTTTAAAGTTGTTCCATTTGATATTTGTATATAGGTGGAAACTAGACAAAAAACACCACAAGCACAATTCTTAAATAATACTTCTTTTTATTAAATAATACTTCGTATGTTTTGTATTGTATGATGTGTTACATAAATGTCACATATATTTTACTTTTGTGTAAAATTGTAATTTTTTTTTTTAATAATAAATTAAAAAATAGATTATATAGTTTTGATAAAATTAAAGTTATCTAAATACATAAAACATCTTATACTATAAAATAACAAATATTATCTAAAACAACATACATATCTTCTTTTTTTGTCACAGACATACATATCAAAACAGAGGAAGTAACATAAACATGCTCATAACACCAACAATTTGTTTGTTATATCTATCCCTAATTTGTGTGGTAGCTTAATTTCTATAACTTTTAATTATATAACTTAGTTTTCAATTTGGGAAAAGTGGTTACGGTATAACATAAATGTTCGTTATCACAATACATATATATCTTTGTCTGATTACAAATTCAAGATTTGATTTATTACTATGTTAGATGAAAGACTTTCTTGATTATTTACGCGTATGGTTAAGCTGTAAATTAAGGAACAACGTGGATCGTTTATACATAAATATACATTATGGACCACCTCGCACGACTCAAAGTGTCGAGTAATTAGCAGACAAATTATTGTCTTTTTGGTCAAAATTAACTTGTCTACAATTTTATTAACACGTATCATATAATACATTATGTAAGTAAGATTAACTGTGACGATTAGACAAATGATAAGGATACATATAAATTCTAAGACAAGCTCCTCGAAGACATCAATGAGACGATCTATATACATTATATCCCGGTCCATCTCTGTGTAATGAATGTTTAGCTCGATGTCCCGTACTATTTAATTATTCAAGCAACCCTAGTTTGATTAGAACACATTTACTTTTGTATTTGACAGAGGACAGCTATCTTTGTAGGACAGGTGCAATACATTTCGCATTCACATATATTTTCATGTCGTTTGGACATTCCACGATAATATGTTTAGGTTAGTTTGATAGTATTTAGAAATAGGTTTCAGTATTTGAGCATATCCTACAATAATAATTTGTTTAGTCTTTTTCTGCATGTTATTAATTACTGAAATGAATACATAAAAGCTTTGTAAAGAAAAAGTACTAAACAATGGTAACAAGGAGGAAATAGGTAGCTACGATATTGCTATTTGTCTCGTGCAAGTATCATAAACTGCTGATGACTACTTGATTAGCGAAAAATAAATAAAAATAAAGAACGTTAGTTTCAAATTTACTAAAAATATTAGGGGAGCTATTTCTCATGCAAGTTGACCCCTGGCCCAAAAATATATAACCAGAATCTAACTAATTTGATAAGACTACATTTTAACTAGTGGAGAAGGAGTGACGTGGGATTGTTACGAATTTTCCGGAAATGTGATTTTCTGGTCGAACCCGGTGTTATAAAACACTCCATAAACAATGTCTGTTATTAATTATTGTTATCACTTCCTCACATAAATTAAGTATACATAATTGTATATTTTAGCTACGTTCTATTTTAAGCAACAATTATTATTATAAATATATATTACTTTTTTCAGCAACAACATATTATAAATAGGTCTTCTCAGTTCAAAAAAAAAATATTATAAATATATATTATATTAATACTCTTTTCTCAACATTATGGTCAATACAAGCGCTTTAACAAAAACAAAAACATTATTATCAATACTCAATATGCGGAAAAGCTTTGGTAGAAAGTTATCTTTCGAACTTTGGATCTTAGATGAATGATTGCTGAAGATTGGTAAATATCAATCATATGGTTAAGATTATCTGATTATTCACATGTATGCATGATGGTAGTTATGTATATGTTATTGACTGATTGAATGATAACTAGTCGGTTTAAAAT